TTTAGCTGTTTGCGGAAAAGAATGCGCCAGAGCCGAAGTCAGTCACTGTTTTCACGGGTCGTAGTGAGAGGTCTTCTTCTGGCACCGTAGAAATGGAAACGGTTGAGCAAGCTAATGAAGCGCTAGCTCTTGTAAATCATACACCTGTTGTAAGCCCATTGGGAAAGGTAAGAAGTATAGTCGATTGTCTTTCTCTATCGGCTACATGTTCCTAGAGTTTAATAATGAGCTGAAAACCACTGAATTGAAATTTGGCGAACAAATTATTCCTTCATTTTTCTGATGTATTTTTCTGCCGTAATTTTAGCTAATCCTACAAATTCGTAATGATTATTGCATCTATTTTATTGCTGAAAGTTGTAAGGAGGTTAGGCAGAAAATTCTTGTTTTTGCCTTTTTTAATCTGAGTTTTTGCGGCATAAACATGTGAGCTTTTGTAAATATGTTTTCTACTGGATATTTATTATCTACAACTGATCGTTGTTTGGCTTTTCTAGACGCCGTACATCGTCAAATTGGCCTATGCTACACCGTCACGTCGTCATGGAGATGCAACGGAAGAGGGCGGTGGTGATGGCACAACTCACCCGCCAAGAGGTGGTTTTCGAGGAGGTCCACGCGGGAGTAGACGGTTTGTGAAACTAAACAGTCTTGATAATCTGAGGTGTTGGTTTGTTGTGATAATTTTTCGATTTTTTGATAAAAGATTTCGCTTGAATTCTCGACTTTCACATGTGGAAGCGTCGGAACTCACGAAACACGACAACAGCAACATGTGACACTAAAACACAAAAACATCACATGATGATAACACACACAAACCACGCTTCATTCATTGCATGCTACAATTACATTACATATTCATATTATTCAGTTACATTCCAGTCATATTATATACAGTTCAATACACCTTGAACATTTTCCATTTACATTTATAATGACAACTGACATTTACAATCACACACATATTCCAGTGCGCTCTAAGCGCTTTTTATTTGTTTTAGCGGTTTCGGGAACGGTTATCGGGGAGGGCGAGGTGGTTACCGAGGATCATATCAAGAATACTAGACGGGATAGCAGAGATGCGTACGTGGTGCCCTCAACTTAGGCCGCTAGCATTGGCTGCTGTTTGATTTGACCATGTTGTTTTGTTGTTTTTCATTGTTACGGTGCAGTATTGATTTAGACTTTGGTTGGCGGTAGAGTAGATGACCTTAGTCTAATTCCTCTGGATAGTTGGTGCATATTCACATGTGCTAATTTTGAACCCACAACGAGCTGTTTACTAGCGAGTTTATATATTTCCTCCCATCAGTGCAGCTAATTTAACACAGACCAATCTACTATCGCTACCTAGACACGTTATGAGAAAAACACGACAGGCAAAGACTAACAGATATTTGGGTGCAATGAATCAAAAACGATCGCACTATACTCTGTATCCTGTGTTGTGTTTTGTTCATGATGAATGATTATCAGGTTTTCATGCTGTTGTCTGCTTTCATTGTTCGATTGATTTGATTTCAATAAAAGCGTTTTCAACATTATCCATAAGTTGTCTCACGGTTTCATTCCTGTGTATCCGAAT